GCGGGCCACACGTCGGAGCATCCGTCGCCGTCGCTGTGGAAACGCGCTGGGAAGCCTCGATCCGGGCGCCCGCTTCCCTCGGTTCCCTCGGCTCCGCCGCGCCGCCGCTATGGGGGATCCTCCGCAGGGCCGGGGGGCGGCCGGGGGTCGGGGCGCCGCGCCGGGGGGTCCTGGGGGCCGCGGCCCTACGGGGAGATCGAGCGGCCGTGCTGTGGGGCAGAGCAAGGAGAGGATGAAGGAGGGGAAGGAGAAGGACGCGCGCTACACCAACGGGCACCTCTTCACCACCATCACCGTGTCGGGGATGACCATGTGCTTCGCCTGCAACAAGAGCATCACCGCCAAGGAGGCCCTCATCTGCCCCAGTGAGCGCCGGGGGGCCGGGGGGGGGGGATGGGGGGAGGGGGGGGGGGTGGGGCGGGGTGGGGGGGGGGGGTGGGGGGGGGTGGGGGATGGCGGGGGGGGGAGCTGTGAGCTGTGGGGTAGCTATGAAGTGGGGTGTGGGGTGGGTGTGGGGCAGGCTATGGGGCAGCTGCGAAGTATGCTATGGGGCAGCTGTGGGGTTGGGTGTGGGGTTGGGTATGGGGTGGCCATGGGGCAGCTGTGGGATGGGTTGTAGGACAGCTGTGGGGTTGGGTGTGGGGAGGCCGTGAGGCAGCTGTGGGGGCAGCTGTGGGTTTGGATGTGGGCTGGCTGCGAGACGGGCTGTAGGGCGGCTGTGGGGCAGCTGTGGGGCGGCTGTGGGGCAGGGAGCTGGGAGCCCCGTGTTGCACCATGGGCTCTGCGCCGTGGGCCGGTGCTGCAGCGCTGCGCTGCCGCAGGGGTGGGCGGCTGCTGCTGGGACTGCTGCGTCTGTGGGGCAGCATCCCTCAGCCCCACATGCTGCTATGGGGTGTGTGCTGCTATGGGGTGATGCACCTCTATGGGGTGTGTGCTGCTCTATGGGGTGATGCTGCTGTGGGGCAGCGCTGTGCTGCGTTCCCGCTCCTTTTGGGGCGCGCTGCAAGGCGCTGTGAGCATCGCTGTGGGGATGTCGCCCCATAGGGGAAGGGTGGGGGGTGCGGGACGGGGAGACGTGGGACAAAAGGACGCGGCGACGTGAGGTGTGGGGATGGAGGACGGGGGGTCACGGGGACACGGGGGCGAAGGATGTGGGGACGTGGGGCAGGGGGGCGAAGGGCGCGGGGTCACAGGAGGCGCGGATGTGAGATGTGGGGATGCGTGAAAATGGGGACAGATGGACGTGGGGTCACGGGGGTGTGGGGATGTGGGGGTGTGGGACAGAAGGACATTGGACACGGGGATGTGAAAATGGGGACAGAGGGACATGGGGGTGTGGGGACATGGAAGTTGGGAACGTAGGACATGGAGGGATGTGGGGACGTGGGGATGTGGGGCAGAAGGATGTGGGGACAGGGGACATGGAGATATGAAAATGGGGACAGAGGGACATGGGGACACATGAAAATGGGGACAAGGGGGCATAGGACACGGGGTGACAGGGACGTGGGGACGTGGGGCTGGAGGAGATGGGGACAAACGGACAATGGGGTGTGAGGTGTGGGGACAGAGGGACATGGGGGCATAGGACACAGATGGGGGAACGGGGACAGAAGGACACGGGGATGTGAGACATGGGGACAGATGGAAGTGGGGGCAGGGGGACGTGGGGGCCTGGGACCCGGTGTCACAGGGCCATGGGGCACGGGGACAGGGGGACGTGGGGATGTGAGACACAGGGCCGTGAGATATGGGGGGCATAAAACAGGGGGACATGGGGGCAGGGGGCCGTGGGGCTGGGGGCTGCACCCCATAGATGTGGGGCGGGGGGAGCTGGGGGGGTCCTCATCCTCATGGTCACGTCGTGTCCCCCCCCTTGGCAGCCTGCAATGTCACCATCCACAACCGCTGCAAGGACACGCTGCCCAACTGCACCAAGGTGAAGCAGAAGGTGAGCGGGGGGGGGGCGGGGGGTTGGGGGGGGGGGGGGGGGGGGGGGCACCCCCGGGTGACAATGTGCGCCCCCCCCCTCCCCCCACAGCAGCAGAAGGCGGCGCTGCTGAAGAACAGCACAGCACTGCAGTCGGTGTCACTGCGCAACAAGAGTGAGTGGGGGGCGGCGGGGGGGGGGGACGACCCTCCATAAGGGTTGGGGACCCCTGGGATGGGTTGGGGTCACCTTGATGGGGGCTGGGGACATTTTGGGGACCCCCTGGGTGGGTTGGGGTCACCCTGAGTTGAGTGTGGGACATTTTGGGATGGGGTCACGCGGGGCAATCAGGGACCCCTGGGATGGGTTGGGGACCCCTGGGTGGGGCCATAGGGCAGGTTGGGGACACTTTGGGGTGGGTTGGGGCCATGGGGGGCAACTGGGGACCCTCTGGGATTCGCTGGGGACATTTGGGGATTGGTTGTGGCCATGGGGGTGGGGTGGGGACACCCAGGGACCCCCTGAGTCGGGTTGGGGACATTTTGGGATGGGGTCACGTGGGGTGACTGGGGATCCCCTGGGATGGGGTGGGAGCAGATTGAGGTGGGTTGGGGGCACCTGGGGGACCCCGGGATGGTTTGGGGACACCTTGGGTGGGCTGGGGCCGCCTTGATGTGGGCTGGGGATGCTTTGGGGACATCAGGAGTGTTTGGGGGCCCCCAGGGATGGATTGGGGACGCCCTGAGTCGGGTTGGGGACATTTTGGGATGGGGCCACGTGGGGCGACCGGGGGCCCCCAGGGATGGGGTGGGAGCAGACTGAGGTGGGCTGGGGGGGGTCGGGACCCTCTGGGTGGGCCGGGGGCACCCC